TGGGCTCAGCACTGCCTGGCCTGCAGCCCTGCCATTCTGAGTCCACATCCTTATTCCTAAAAACCACCTAAGCCAACCTCTCTGGCTGGTTCTTAGGACAAAGTGGGCAGTACACAAAGCACTGGGCCCAGAAGATACCCAGAAAGCAGCAGCTGAATTGCGTTTCACTCCCTAACTCGACAACATCAGCCCTCTGCTCTCAGTAAGGTCTCACCATCTACTGAGGTGGCACTGACTGAGGCAGAGTCCACCACCGTCACCCCACAGGGAAACTATGGGTAGGGGGCTGCTGCTGCCTTTAAGCTGGTGGGTTTTCTTGGCAAGTAAAAGGCACTAGCTCAGAAGCAACTTGCCCCCCCTCCCAGCTGCCACCCAACAGGGCTTGAGAGCATGTGCTGCTGCAATAGCACCATCCATGCCCTCTGCCCAGGGCCCAGTGCCCTATACCTCCTCCCTCCCCATGGCCTGCAGAGGCTCACCAGTCACACAGGAGCGCCACGCAGTCCTCCCGGCACCAGAATGCGATCCTGGATGCGGCGAACCTCTGAAAGAAAAAGCTCCCGCCTAGCCATATGTCACCTGCAGGGACCTGGTACCCATCATCTGGCCACGCCAAGGGCAAAGATGGAGCTCCCAGTTCCCACATGTGGAAGAGGCAAAGAGAAGGCAGCACTAGGGTGTTCTGCAAATCAGCAGGGGGCCGAAGGGTACAGCAACTCCTAGTACTCCCATGACTGACTTGCTGAAAGGATAACAAAGCCTCTCTGCGGCCCCAGCCTGCCCTTTAGAGCCTGCAAAATGCCTCCAAAGTCAGGAGAATTGGTCAAAAACATGTAACAGAGGAAAAGAGGTCAAAGGGGCAGGGAGAGTTGAACTACAAACTCAACAGCTTGGCAGAAGGAATGCTCAAAATGAAGGAAACGTCTGGAAGCCAGAGCCACGCAAGGCACAGAGAAGGCCTGGTCCTCGCCAGCTAGCCTGGTGCAGGGCAGAACCACCATGCAGAGCCCAGTGAGACCTGTAACTGGCCCACTAGGAAGCCTAACCAAAGCCCCAGCCAGCATGCTGTCCTAGGGTATCACAAGGTCACTCCGTGAGGACTAGAGAAGGCTGGGATGGCTCCACTCCTCCCCACCCTGCCCAGCTGAAAAATCCCAGGTGAGGCTCCTGCTCGAGCACCACTGTCCGTTCCACTTCCGAGTGTAACTAGAGGACTTCCAGCAAACCAGTCGTTTAAGTTCAAATGAGGTAAAACATAAATGATTTCCCACTTACATGCAACCAGGTCTCTTCAGAACTGGAAATACACAATTTCTCCAAAGCTAGAATAAGTCTGGCATTGACAGCAAAAAAATGGTTCCAACTGTTTCCCACAACCCCAGGGCCTGAGAAGCACCCTGCAAACCCATGCCTGGGATAAATGAGTGGCTACCTTGTGGCCTCGAGGCTCCGCAGGTTCAGGCAGGCTGGCCAGGTGACAGCAGTGCAGCTGACGGCCGCTTCTGTACTCCCAGAGCCTCAGCGTGCAGTCCTGTGCACAACAAACAGACAGTCAGCACACAGGGTCTTGGGAAGTGATGTATCTCCAGAGCAAGAAAGCTCCCGCCACTGGGGGAGGTCACACAGAGGAGAGCGTAAATTCACTTGGACACAGCAAGTGCCACCCTCACAAATGAAAGGCTCTCTGGGGGCCAGTTTGTGGTTTAGTAGTTAAGGCAACTAGATTCCACATGGCCAACTACGCAGTTTGGCCAACTATGCAGTTTGAGTCCTGGACCCAGCAGTTTGAGAAACACGCAGGGTATGCATAAATACATGCCCAAACTCCTGAAAGGAGGGAGAAAGGAAGGAGAAGGGACTGTCCTATGGGGCTTGCTTTCTTACTCCTCACTCTCCCACATAGCCCAGCCACCCCCGTCTGTCTCTCTCTGGTGAGCATATATACCTTCTGGCAAGAGAAAAAAAAAATTTTAATAAATGAAAATAAGACTCTCTGACCTTAATTACCATGTACAGGGCTCGTGCAAGCAGCAAGGAAAGTGGGAGATCCTATAGCAAAACGGGCCAAGGACACAGGACACCCAGATTGTCACATACGAGGAGGTCAAAGACCACATCTGTTGTCTTGGGCCAGGTAAACACGTGCAGACACACACGCACTATGTGTATTTGCACAAGGAGAAGGAGCACAGGGCTAGGAAGCATGACATCCATACCCTCAGAGTTTAGGAAAAGATGAAAGGACATGCCCACGGGGCCAGCAGCTGGTGTGGTGGTCAAGGTGCTGGAAGCCCACATGGCAGACAGGTCCCAAACCTTGTGGCTTGGTTTCTCACTTCCTCTCTCTCACGCTTTCTGTGTGTGTGTGTGTGTGTGTGTGTGTGTGTGTGTGTGTGTACATGTGGTGTCTCTCTTCCGAGCACACATACCGTATAGCAAACTTAGTAATAATAATAATAGTAATAAATAGGATAAATAAATAATTTAAGAAAAGTAAGGCCATTCCCTTATGGGAGCACCAACCAGTACAACCTTCAGGAAACCAACAGATGCACAGAGAGCCTCAGTGCTCAACCCAGCACTGATCAAAGAGAGGGAAATGCGAGCATACACGCTATAAAGGAAGGGGCATGTACGTGAAACGGAGACAAGTCCACTGCGGAGTCCATCCCCAAACAAGCTGTAATGCAGAGGGCAGTCACTACTGAAATGAGATGCACTCAGGCCCACACCCACCTGAAGACACAGCTCTACTTAGTCTAACGACAAAGTGTCCACACATGCCTGGTGGGATCACAAGACAGCCAAGGAAAACCTCTTCTGCACGAGGAGGACAGTGCACCCAGTGAAGGAGACACACAAGGTGAGCAAGACTCTGAGGCAGAAGAATGCTCGACCTCATGAGACATAAGACGAGGTGCTCCATCCAAGACTGGGCAGCCATAATAACATTCCAAGGACAAGAATGAGCTCTTGAAAATTAAAAATAACATCACAAGCAGTAATTTACTAAAAATAGTACTTATTAGTAGCAAAATCAAAATTTTCACACATGTTGAAAAATAAAGTTGAAGCAATCTTCCAAGAAGCAGAACAAGGGGAAAAAAATATGAGACAAACTGGGAGAGATGAAAACCAGAGCAAAGCGGTTCAACAGCCAACTAACGCCAAGGCCAGAAGATGCGGGCAGAAGGCAAAAGATGGGGGTGAGGGTGCAGAAGAAAGTTTATATAAGAAAATTCCCCAGGACAGAGGGCTCTGCAGCTGCAGAAGTGTGCAGAGCTCCGACATAGAGCCCTGGCAGAGGATGCCCTCCAAATGCCCAGCAGTGGGCAACATCCCAGATCTCATGCCGAAGACCTAGATGCAGAATGTTTCTTCCTTAACACAGTGAGGAAATCAAGCACATTAACAGCTAAGGCAGCAAGGCCTCCAAGAAGCCAAGGGAACTACCTAACAAGAATTCAACACCAAACCAATCCAGATTAAGGGCACTGCTAGAATGCCAAAGTCTCAAACCACTAACTGTCCTTGCATCCAGAAAGTTACTAGATGTTGTGCTCACTCCACTAAGACAAAGTACTAAGTTAAAAGTCAAGGGGCGGGTCTAGCAGGTAGTATGGTTAAGAGTGCTGGACTCTCATGTGGCTGACCATGGTTTGAGTCCCAGACCTGGTAGTTTGCTTTCTCACTTTTTCTCTCTCTCTCTTACTCTTACTCTGTCCCTCTCTGGTCAAATTAAAAATAAATAAATAAATAAATAAAGTTAGATAAAAATAATTATTTAAAAAAAAAAAGTTGAACCCAGCAAATGGCATAATGGCTACGTCGCTGGACTCCCATGTAGTCGACTATGGTTCAAGTCTCAGACCCGGTGGCTTAAACTCACCGGGCGTGTGCCTGTGCGTGCCCAAGATCCTGAGAGGGAAATGGAGGAGAAGGGATTGTGGCATGGCCGTCCTCCCTGGGGGGGGTGATTTCTCACTTTCTGTCTGTCTCTCTGGCAAGCACACACGCCCTATAGCAAAAAAAAAAAAAAGTCAAGAGGAAGGAGAAGGTGGGCTTCAGGATTCTTTTTTTTTTTTTTTTTTTTTTAAAGTTTGCTATATGGAATCCACATGAGGGAAAGTGAGAAGCCACCCCCTGGGGAGATGGCCTCACTACAATCCCTTCTCCATTCTCCTCTCAGGATTTTGGACATGCAAGCACATGCACCTGGTATGCTGCCAAGTCTGGTGCTTAGACTACAAAGTCAGTCACATGGGATCTGGCTGGCTTAACCACCATGCCACCTGGTTGGCCCAGGAGACACTTTAGTATACATGAATATATCCGTTTCTATTACAAAAAAGATGGGAAGGTGTACAACACTGATAGGAACTATCTCTGGGAACCGAGCCATACTCACTTCCTCCTCTCAACTTTCTCAGGACCATGTACTGCTTTCAAAACCAGAAAAAGAGACAAAGAATAAAAACTAATTAGAGGGACCAGCAGTTAGCATAATGGCTATGTTGCTGGACTCCCATGTAGTCGACCACGGTTCGCATCCCAGACCTGGTGGCTTAAAACTCACACCGGGTGCATGTGCATGCGCGCTCAAGATTCCGAGAGGAGAATGAAGGAGAAAGGATTTGCGGCATGGCCATCCCCTCTTGGGGGTGGTTTCTTGCTTTCTATCTCTCTGTCTCTGTCTGTCTGGCGAGCACACGCACATAAAAAAAAACCCCCCAAAAAAAAAAAAAAAACAATTGGAGAACTAATGTGATTGTGAAAAATGTCAGAATCAAAATGATGAAATGGACCTGGGGGAAGCTCTGAGAGGGACCTTCACACAATGCCTGATAGCAGGAACTACCACAAAGACTCTATACCCACCACTCTGCACAAAAAACACTTCTGCGAAGACACCTGCCCAGCAGCTGCCTAGCCAACCTTGGGTCAATGTCACCTTGTTATTGATTCTGTAAGCCAAGGTTCATTGTTTCAAAAAACTCAGGTAACCCTCCTCATTGTCTCTTCAAATACCCTTTGCCTCCCTTCACCTCTGCAGAGGAATTCCTGACCCGGCAGAGCCAGTGCACTAGATCTGCAAATCCCCTGCTCATTCACAAATAAACTCACGGAATTTCCTTTTCCCTCTGCTTCTCTGAGACTCAGGAACAGGTGGTGGGCAGGTATCTGCAGGATGCCACTAGAAGGGGAGAAAATCTGCCTGCCCCAAACCACTCCAGGCCAGAGTCACAGAAATGCAGAAGGGCAGCAAACACAAAGGCGGTGTGTGGGCAGAGCTGCTGTGAAGGAGAATCGAACGTTACCAGGAACCCAAACCCGCACTCTGGCAAAATCACTGCTAAAGATTCTTCTACAGAATACACATCTCTAACCAGTAAGCTGCTATGGCTTCCAGGTTTCAATTGCTAGGACACAGACGTTGTCCTTAGGAATAAAAAATGCACCTGGCCAGTGCTCTACAGGGGCTGGCCAGGAGGGGGACTGCCAGAAGGAACCCACCCTTCAGACAGGCCAGAGTGCTGAGCTCAGCGGCTGAGATGAGAGACAGAATTCCCCCAGAGTCAGAAAGGGCTGTCCTGCCAGCTGCTGCCGAGGTCCTGCTGCTACTGCAGACCAACAGCAGGCCTTCGAGCAGATGCTATTCACTTTCAGATCAATGCCTATGCACATGCACACCTCTGTGTAACACACCCTATATTCTCCCGTGCACACACACATGCCACACACACACAGCCTGTACGAATGGCTGTCTGAGCAAGGAGCAGCACCAGTAGTCCGAAGGTTTGGAAATGAGCACCACCTAGTGGACAGCCACCGATGAACAGGAACTCAGGAACTGCAGAACCACAGCTGGAGACAAAAGGTGCTGGCTTCTCAGGGGTGACCCCACCTCCAACAGGGCTCTCCTCCCACCTCTCCAAGCCGGTTGGGCCCTAATGGAAAGAACCCAGAAGAGAGCAGCAGTGAGCAAAGCACTTACCCCGGAAGAGGACAGCAGCAGATCAGGATGGCTAGGCACCACGAAGATGCGGCTCACGAACCTGCACAGAGGGCGAGCAGCAATGGGTCATACTGCAACGGCCTGCTGGGGCCCCCGCACAGCCCCTGCCCAATTCAGGAGGTGCCCTAAACCCCCAACTTCCAACACAACCAGCCATAACTGGGGAGAGACAGGCATCAAGATCCAAATCCTTGAGCCTTGGCCAGCCAACCTGAAGTACACTAGAGACGCACACAAGTACACAAGGCCCAACGGACAGGAGGACTAGAGCAGACGACTGCAGCATGACTAGACTCTGGATATGCCCCTCCCACCTGTAGGGCACATGCAGATACCCTCTCCTGAACAAAGGAAAAAGTTGTGTTTCTTCAGAAAGTGCTGAAGAGTGAACCCAAGCAACCAGGCTCCCCAGGAGTCCATGTCAGGTCCCCCACAAGCTCCAGTGAGGGCAACAGGTCCCCCTCTTGGCACGTGTTACAAGGCAGGAGGTCCCTGTGATCCCTAGTACACAGCCTCCCTGAGACTCCCGAGATAGGGCAGCCCAAGTCGCTTCCTTGTCTCTGTCACAATCTGTCAGCACCAGCCATACCTGGGTACCCCCATGGCAACCTTCCCTGCACCCACCAGGCTGCCGTCCCAAAGGTGCTCCAGATTCTAATTTCAGGTCCTCCAAAGGAAAAAGCAAAAGTGCACATTCCAGGGCTGGCCCCATAGCGCAGGAGTTAAGTGTTGTACGTGGGAAGCCAGACCCCACATAGCCAACTGTTGTTTGAATCCAACATGCCAGGCACGTGTGCATTCATGCCCCAAATCCTGACAGAGAGAAGAAATGAAAAAGAATGGATTGTTGCGTGACCATGCCCCACTGGCACACTGTCACCCTCTGGCAATCAGAAAAAGAAAAATAAACCCAGGACACACAGAAGAGCATGTCTGTCAGGATACATGTAGCCTCAAAGTTCTCCACAGAAAAAGACAGATACTGATTCCAAATTTGAATCAAAATTGTTAGAAATCAATTATCATTCATCTATTCAGTCCTGGATATCTATCGCGAGCTCTGTGCTGAGAGCTGAAGACAGTAATAAAGAAAATCACCACATGAACACCAAGGTGTGGCAGAAGAGAAACGGTAGCAGGCAGTAAAGAGCCAGCCAGGGGCTAGGCACAGCACTGTCCAACAGAAATGCCACGTGAGCCACAGTTGTGAGCCATGCCACTTTAAGGTTGCTAAAAAAGAAAACAGAAACAGGTCTGAAAGGTTTTACTGCCATGTTCTGACTTAACTCATATCCACATGGCAAGGGCATGAATTAGCCGGGAAGTGGGGAAATCCTCTGAGCAGCAGGTGGCATCAATCAGAAAGCTGCGGGAGTAAAGAAGGAGCTGGCTGGGCAAAAGTGTCCAGGCAGCAGAAGCAAAATGTGCAAAAGCCCTGAGCTGGAGCGTGTGCCTGGCAGGGCCAGGAGCTGTAAAGATCTCAGTGAGACACAGCATGGAGGAAGAGGGCCCATGGCTTGCAGACCGTAAGAATTCTAGAGATGGACTACCAAAGAGCTTAGTGATCCAAATAAGTTACCACGAGGTACTAATGAGTGACCACCAACCTTTTTTCTTTTTTGTTTGTTTGTTTTTGTTTTTGTTTTTGTTTTGCCATAGGGCATGTCCCGTCACCTGAGAGAAACAGAAAGCAAGAAATCATTCCCCAGGAGAATGGTCACACTACAATCCCTTTTCCTCCATTATCCTCTTGGGATTTTGGGTACCCATGCGCACACACCCAGTGTGAGTTTCAAGCCACCAGGTCTAGGACTCAAACTGCAGATGACCATGAAAGTCCAGCGTCTTAACCACACCACCACCTGCTGGCCAGACCACCAACCTTCTTTTTCTTTTTAGAGAGGTTTTTGGTTTAGGGTGTATGCACTCACCAGAGTAACAGAGACAGAAAGTGAGAAATCATCCCCTCCCCGAGGGGATGGCCATGCCGCAATCCCCTCTCCTCCATTCTCCTCTTGGGATTTTGGGCATGGACGTACATGCACGTGGCGTGAGCTTTGAGCAGCAGGGTCCAAGACTTGAACCACAATCGACTATGTAGAAGTCCAGTGACATACCCATTACACCATCTGCTGGTCCCACTATCAACCTTCTTAAAGATCAAATTTCTAAAAAATTTGCCAGATGGGACCAGCAGTTAGTGTAACGGCTATGTCGCTGGACTCCCACGTAGTCGACTATGGTTCGAGTCTCGGACCCGGTGACTTAAAATTCACATCGGGCACGTGTGCGTGCGTGCCCATCCCCCCTGGAGGGAGATTTCTTACTTTCTATCTCTCTGTCTGTCTGGCGAACGCACGCGCCCTATAGCAAAAACTTCTCAAAAAAAAAAAAAAAAAAAAATTTGCCAGAGAAGGTGGATGCACTCACCAGGAAGATGAGAAAGAGGAAGAGGAGAAAGCACTCCCCAGTGGAATGGTCATGCCACAATTCCTTCTCATCTCTCCCATCTTTTGGGATTTGGGGCACGCACACATACCTGGTGTGTGTCTCATCCTGCTAGGTCCAGGATTCAAACCATGTAGTCATCCACAGGGGATCCTGTCCCTTAACCACTATACCACAGGCTGGCCCTTAAGTCAAATTTTTGCATTGTTTCCAAAAACCAAGACAGAAGCAATCTTAGAAATGAATTAAATTCCTCCAATTTCTTCAGCCTCCTTAAACAATGGATTTTAAAACATTTCAGCCAATTAAATGAGTACTTTTCCTTTATATAAATTGTGATTAGCCTTTCATCTGAGACGAGCGGTAT